TTACGGAGCGGAAACTCAGAGTAAAAGCCAGCAATAAACTTATATACAAAAGTAAATACTGAAATTAAAACAAGAATATACAACAATGAAATCAATTGGTATACTATTAATAATTTACTAACACTATACAAACAATAGTGGCCTAATAAAAATATATATACATATATTAAATATGGTCAGTACAACATTTTACCAAACACCAGTCCACATATATTTAAATTTATGTGGGACCTTAACAGACCAACACTTGTAGGCTACTTAATACCAACACTATTGAGCTCCAGTGCTCGACTGGAAGAAGTGAGGTAGATCCCACTTTCCACCACACTGTGTCACTCTTCTCATAGATTTAACACTCCTCTTCTACATGAACAAAAGAATATGTCAGAGTGTGAGTATGTGTATAGAAAACAGTGTGGTTATATTGATATAACAGATACAGTATGAGGGGCAATGGGTTGAACTAGTGAAGAGCTTTTTAGTTATGTAATGCAAAACTGCATACAATTCATACAATTTCAAAAGATTGTCTGCATCAGACAGGAAATAAAAGTTGTATTTGTCACCATGCATGCATTACAAGCTGTTTTTCTGTGTGCAGAATATCTAGTTTGTAAACAATGTTATTTTCTCTCAATATCTTACTATGGGTTGACAGTGAGTGTCAATACCAAAATCACAAGTAAAATAAATTTCAAAAACTGGTCAAATCTCACTTATTGGTATCTTTGTCAATCACGGTTTCTGGGTTTACATATTTGGACAGTCCAAGGTTACATAACTAACTCACTAATTCATTCATCATCTGAGAATTACTCTTTTTTACAAATACTTTGCCGTGACAATACAATGCATGGTATGAATTTGGGGTTGGGTTATCTGCTATCTTCATCACAGCTTGGGTGAATCATGGGCTTAATGTTTGGCTCATGGCTGAAATAATAAAATTTTAGCAGGTAACTGACTCCAACAACCCCCACAGGTATAGAGCGTTAACAGCTGGATGATGGTGCCTGGAAGATTTGGAGAAATAACTTGCGCAGCTGTTGAGGAATTAGAGCAACAGCCTATAATTTCCTGCACACTTTCTCAATAAGTAATACTGTTTCATTGACAGAATGTGACAGAAATACGGAAATGTGTTGCGTGTTGCAAGTTGTTTCACAAAGAAATGTAACTTATCTAACATTGGACATTTTGAATGACACAAGACAAAAAATAGCAATGACAATGAAAGTAATCATAATAATGTCTATTACTATTTCTCCGGCCTCAGAACAAACCTTTAGCTCAGACAGATATTTTAGAACAAAACAATTGGTTCAAAAAGTTTTGCATTCAGCTGTAAAACTTATAAGCAGCAGATGTTGCGACTCTAGAACAGGTCTATTGTAAGTTTTGAGGTAAAACTCAAGACTGCAGAATTTGTTATCTTGAACTGCTAGAACTATGAAAGCAACTTTATTATGCCATAAAACGTCAAAAGAAGAACCAGTTTCTGAAGTAATTATATTTCTAGAGGTTCAGCTCCTTAGATAGAAACAACAGAGAAAGAGGAATTTATTGTTGGTTTTGATTCTAAATTTAAAATGGAATAGATGAATGGGATGACAACTGTTCATTGTTTTAAGAGGCCAAAAACTTTATTTCAAGAGATAATAATTCTTTCTTATTAAAAAGGCCTCCAGGATCTAATAAGTATATGGTTTAGATTGGTAACATTTGACATTAACAATGAAAACATTCTGAGTTTAGGAAGTAAACAAGGTCTTTATTGATATCAAATTACCTCTTTAACTCCCTATCAAACTGATATAGTGGTAGGTTTTAGTTGTTTTGATCAATTTGACCATGTTCTCTTATAAAAACAAAATGGCTTTTTGCTTATGTGTCTCTGACAATGTCTGCTTTGTTTCCAGTGAAGTTTGATACAGTCTGTTGACCAGCAGAGCACTACTTTTTGGTTCCACAACGAACTCTTGAATGAGATAAGGGCCGTATTTGTTCCTGTATTACGGATCTCTCATGCCACCGTGTGGAGAGAGAGTCTCTGTGTACTCATCAACCAAAGCAAAATGATCTGGCTCCCGAACAACTTCGCGAAATCACTCTCAGTCTTTTGTATTCCTTTCTGCAATTCTTCCCTATAAAATACAAGAGGATAAGAGTGTGTAAGGTCCTTTACTGATCCTCCAGAGTGGATATTCAGTTGTAGCAGTACAAGGACAGAATAAGTGCAGATAAAAAGAGGAACTTAAAGAAAATAAATAATTAAAAGTATATAAAATAAGAATACATGCAAGCATGGTGTGAAATTACTTCACAAATATATTATAAAAATATAATTAATTAATAGACTAAATTTTACAGATATATCTTGTCAAAATGATGCCTCGCTTTTAAGGAAAAATGAAGAAAACTGAGTCTGAGTCTGAGTAATGTCCAGACTAATGTTTGCAAAAGCCAAGTATAAGTGACACCTTCTGGTTAGTTTAATAGACCAAATATACTTTGAATATACCAAAATCAGGCTGATGTGTGATGTTAGGTTTGAGCTGGGAATGAGCCAGGATTGTAAATACGCTCAGACCTGATGGGTTTTATCATCATCACCATCATCATCATCATTTCGGTAATCATCATCTTTACTGCTACACAAATATTGTCATTAGATTTATAAACAAGAAAACTACAGATCTAAACTAACTACCTAATGTGTTGTCTGGTGTCACTGATTATCTTGGTTATGCCATCCAGGGCACCTTGGCCTTGAGCCTGGCTGAGAATAGACATGACCTGCTAACCTCACTATGTGTGATCTCTCCTCTACAGGAGCAGTGACAGTGTTGACACCAGAGCCCCTGAGATTATATCTGACTGGTGTTTCATCAAGCATGACCATGTAATCCACGCCATTTATTTTACACCTGGGGCTTTCCACATCTCTGTGGTTCTCATCATCATCCTTGCTACCAGCAGAACTTAAAGATCCCCTCCAGATGTGTGTTAAGACATATATACAAATACTCCGCTTGGAACAATAATGTGTGTCTGATCATTTTTTTCTGCAAAAAAGGAGAATTTTCATACTGAAATACTAACCATAAAAAGGCATCTACTCCTTCTAACTCATTAAAAATGACAGAATTTAAGAATATGCAAATTGTGTTTATTTCTAAGGTTTTGCTGCTGGACACAATATCACAATATCCTCTCTAGCATCTTAAAAAGGCTCAGAGTCTGTTGCAAATGGCCAAGTCTGATGTTATATAAGAGTTCCAGACAAATAAGCATGACATGAGAAAGCCAGGAGATCTTCAGAGATGAAATGTGTCTCATTTTTATAAGTTGATATTTGAGATGATGTTTTTATGCTTAAAAATAACAGAAACAGGACATTTTGTTTGATGTTAATACAATTACACAAAGCCAAAACAATGCATCAGCCACTAATATCAGTCTTATAAGCAGGAATGACAATTAGTACCATTTATTACAGGATTTATAATACAATGTTACAATTTTTGGAAAAAGGGTACTATGACACAAGCCAAAAAAACAGCCTTAAACATCTCCGGGATTTAAACAACTACACTTAGAGAATTACGAGCCAAGGCCAAGGATTTATCACCAACACAACCAAGGACACAGGACATGGGTACTTAAGTAAATAGACAGATGAAATACAAAATAAATTCATATTCATCCTTGACATTTCGGATGTTGGAGGTGGACAGATGGATATTACCTAACAGCTATCAGATATCTCTCCATTTATTCATAACTTCTTCCATCCATCAATTCCTCCAGTTTCGAATCAGCCAAGGCACTGACATGAGTTTTACACTCAAAATCATTAGTCTCCGTAAAGTTTCATTTAAGTTTTCATTTGATTTAGTATTATTATCAATATTTTTTTAATGTGTTATTTGTATAGTTATAACATGACATATGGCAGCATTCCAGTATAGAGTTTAAAATCACTGATCTGATACAGGGCACCAATATAAAGACTGCAATTGCCTCAATATATTTATAGTACTCAGTGTTAAACTGTATACTGATACATTTATGATCTGTACGCAGATTGTTTATGACTAATTGGTTAATCAATTTTTAGTCTATGAAATATAAAAAAAAAACTTCCATCCCATTTACAATCACATATGACAGAGAAAAGCAGCAAATACTTACATTTGAGAAGTTGAAACCACAGAATGTTGTTTGTTTAGGTTTTTTTTTTTTTTTGCTTTAATAATAACAGAAATCATTTAACAATTATCAAAATATTTTCCAATCAAGTAATCAATTCATTGACTAACCTTCAGCTCTAAGATTTTGATGTGGGATTGTTTTCTTTTAAACTGAGAAACTGAGGAACTCAAGGAATCTCTAAAATAATTGATTTCATTAATGTTTTGCCAGGAAGCAGCTTTGTAAGATTAGGACCTTCACAGACGGGGGCTATCTGGAAATCAGTGGAAATGTTATTTACACCTAATTAATTAATGATTTTACAGTTTGTTTTTTGTAAAATAGTCTACAGATCATGTCATTGTCAAGGGAAAACATCTAAAGTCTATGGGTTCAAATGTTGAAGAACACTAAGATTACTGCTTCAATGAGTTTGTGACTCCTAGCCTGAGGACATTGCTTTAAAATGTAAGATTTCTGCATCACCCTTTTCCACTCTTCATAATTCAAGGCCACTTAACGGTCTTCCTGCAGTAAACCAAAATGCCCTAAATGTTGACCCTTTGCTGTGACATGACAAATAATAACAACCCCCAGTTACCAAGTAGCAAAAACCCAGGGATTAAATGCAGCATCTATAGTCAGGACGAAAGGATGACGAAAGTAGCCTATGTTTTGACTGTCCTGTTTGTTCTTATCATTTTGTGCTTCAAAGGGATTATGAGAAAGGTTGCAAAGTGGCCAGTGAGTCAGTGAGATCATTGATAAGGTTGGTAGGTTTCACTTAATCCAGGAAGTCGTCACAGACTGAGGGGCGCATGTATAAATTGACCCGGAGTGAAGCTGAGGTCCTCAATAAAAAGCCGTCCTGCACAGAGGCACAATGAAGGGGGAACTTTCTCTCAACATGGTGATACTCTATCTCCAGTTATGATTCTACCTGTGCTTTGATTGAACAGATTTTTTATTGACCTTTTCCTTTTCTCTTGGTATTATTAGGTAACTGCTGCAACCACGATGGGCTCAGTGAAATCAGCTGTACTGTCTGTTCTTCTGTTGTCTTTTATTCTTTACGTAGTTGATTCTTACCCCAGCATGGACTTATCAAACAGTAAGATTTGCTTATAATACAAGTACTATTGTGTTTAGTATTCTTGTCTCAAACTATACCACTTACTAATTGTTGAAATGTAAAGCAAGATCTCAAATGGGTACTGGCACTTTATCACAAGCTGCACATGATCAATAGTTTTTGATTCTGGTTGTAAAACCGGTACCGTCTCTCTCCAGTGGGCTGTGAGGAGTGCACACTGAGAAAGAACAGTGTTTTCTCCAGGGATCGTCCGGTCTATCAGTGCATGGGCTGCTGCTTCTCCAGAGCGTACCCAACTCCTCTCAAGGCCATGAAGACGATGACGATCCCGAAGAACATCACCTCGGAGGCCACATGCTGTGTCGCAAAGCACAGCTACGAGGTACAGGTGGAGACAAAAAATATATCAGGCAAACTTTTCTTTATATACTGTAAACGTTCATACATTGTGGAGATTACAGTAAGATTTTAAGGAGTCTTGGAGTCTTGGAGGCGATGCCAACTTCCCTGGCTCTCTTGTTGCATCTCCTTCTCTCTCCCAATGTGTCCCATCTGTCAGTACTATTGCTAACAGACAGGGAAAAAAAGAACATCTATAAAAACAGGTAAAACAATTAAATAAAATAGAAATAAGAATTGAAGAAATTGGTTGTTTTGGCAGGAAACTACAGGACTAAATAGTTCCCAATATCTACAGATAAAATGCTCCAGTTTGGAAATAGTCTAAAATACTGTAGTTTATAGATCTATAGCTTTTAGGTTTCATCTTGTGTTCAGATTAGCTAAAGGGTCAGTGGACTAGACCAAATAGACATTTCCCCCCAAACGTCTGTGTTTCATTTAAGTAATTGTTTGAGATCCAAATAGGTCAAATTATTCAGTATTTCACAAAAAAAAAAACAGGATGGGAACCATCTGAGAACGTAATATATGATAACATATCAGTCGCAGGGGTCAATTTTCTGCCAAATGTGTTCTGTCGCTTACTTCATATATTATAAAGGATAGGTTCACAATATCTTGCCTTAAAACAACAGTCAGGTGCCAAACAGTGAATCATTCCTCCCATTCTGGACATTAACAGATCCCTGTCTAATGTGATTATGATATAAGTGATGGGAGACAAGAAATCTGCAGACCTCCATTGGTGCCAAAATATATTCTTAAGTTTATCCATGGTTATATCCAGTAACTTCAAAGATATATTTTATACCAAAAAGACTGAAAAGTTGGAAGATTTGCACTTAATTACCTTGAGATAAACTTTTGAATGATTTTTTTGTACAAAAGAAGGACTGTGGTTTTCTGTGCATTCAATATATTTGTATCTTTCCCTCAGGATAAATAAAGTTCTCTATTATCTTATTTATTTAGCTGATAATATTTACGTATTTTTACCTAAAAAAACTATTGTCGTACTTTTACTTGTAATGGAGTTTTACATTCTGCCACTGGTACTTTTACTTAAGTAAAGGATCTGAGTACTTCTCGGCTTTTATGTTGTGTATTGTTTTTTACCAATGTTTTATTTGAATTAACTTCACAGTTTATTTCAGTGCTGGTTTTGGTTCGTGTTTAGAACTTAAGACATTTTGACTCAAGCTGCTAAAAAGATCATTTCATCATGCATTATTGCTGCTGTAGATTGATAAGACTTTGTTAAATTTCACTTTTTTTCTTCCTCCTCATCTGTTCCTCTTTCAGACAGAGGTGGCCGGCATAAAGGTGCGAAACCACACAGACTGCCACTGCAGCACCTGCTATTTTCATAAGATATGACAGATGGGAACTGGAGACCATTCTGCAGCCCTCAGCTTAGCAACAAATTGTGCTTCTTTTAATATGCATGAGCTCTTCTCTTTTAAAATGTATTTTCTTGTGTTGCCAGATAATATTTTTGTAGCAATTCTGTGTCTGTGATGTGTAATTAGCCTACATTCTGGCATTGATAGAGATGTGTGATTAATTGTAGATTGAAAAGCAATTAAAATGTGCACCCAGATGTTGCACTTTCATGAATGTGTCTTACAGTGAAATTAATGGGAATATGGTGTGTGTGAGAGCAATTTTCATGTCACAAATTGCTTAAAGTAAGTTGCTTTGGACCAATGTGTCCGTTAATGTCATGTAAGGAATACTAACATAAATGAAAACCGACCTTCCGTTAATTACACACTTAAAAAAAAAAACCCTTATTCTACAATCAGAACTAGCAGCCAAACTATATGTCAAGTAGGCAAAACACAAAAGAATTGAAATTAAAAACGACCTCAGAGAGAAGCTATCGAAGTGCTTAAAAAAACGAGGAATTATTATGGTAACTTTAACTTCTACAACTCCATAGCATCTGAGCAAACTCCAATTACTGATGAAGTTTTTGTGATATGATCAAACTCCAGAATTCAAATTATTTTGAGATTTTGAGATAAATGCTTATAAGACGCTTATATAAAATATAAATGTCAATTTCTGGTGTGTGTAGATTGTGATGTGAAGAAATGTAAGTAAACTCCATCAGTTTATTTGTGGAAATAAATGTAGCCTCATTTTGAGGGTAATATTAAACCTGAAGAACATTATGGTGGTGCACATCATACTGCAGCAACTACTTAATACTTACAGTTCAGCATCACTCTTCTTTAAAGAGTTTTTTTCATTTTTTCTCAAGAATTTACAAACATAGTGTTTACACTAATAGACTACCACAAAGCACATGCTACCTTTTGGGTCAGGTGGTTAATCAGCTGTCTGACCCCTGTTAGTGAACATCTGCCCTGCTGAAGTCGCACAGAATCAGGGATGCTGTTGACAACAATATCTGTCCCTCCCATGCTGGAGGCTGATTGAAACTTGTCTTGCTGGAGCCTACTGATGCTCACTGCCTTCAGGACACAGCCGACCTGCAGTGTATCTGTGCTATGGATGGTAGGATACAGCATGGTGCATTCAGGGGGAAGTCCAGTCATCCTGAGATTAGCTCATAAGTAAACCTTTCACGTCCAGCGTTGTGTGCTGCAGAGTGTGATGTTGTGTCACTGTAAGGTCATGGATGCTTTGTTGACATCAGGGGTGTGTGTGTGTGTGTGTGTGTGTGTGTGTGTATGTGGAGCACACTGTGTACTCACCCTCCCCCTCCCCCCTCCCCCCCCCGCCCCCCCCGTGCGTGCGCGTGCGTGTGCGGGTCTGGCAGCGTAACATCTGTGCGTACGCGGTCGTGATTGTTGTGAAGATGGCGGAGGGGGAGACAGAGAAGGAATATGACACACGGAAAGCTATCGAGGAGCTCCGAGAGCGGTTCCAGGGTTTGACCACAGCTTTGAAAGAGAGCTCGCAGTCTCCGTTGGAAGCCTCCCTGCATTTCTGCCAGGAGTTTTGCCAGGTTAGCCCGTTTCTCCTGCTGCTCATCCCGGGCAGCCTGCAGCCCCTCTGGCTTCCTGGCCGAGGATGCGCGTCTACGCTTGCTACAACAATGTAGCTAAGGAGCTAGCTTCCCTAGCTAGCTTGCCTGGCATTTCAAGATAGGGGGGAAAAAAACTCCTCCGTGGTTTTCAGCCATCCTCTCAGTGCTGTTCGTCGGTGGCTTGCACTTATTTGCAAAGTCTCACTATCCACGCGGCGAGAAGTCACACCAATGTGTGCGCACAGTGCATGTATTACTCGTATTTTCCAGGCCAGAGAGCTAATAGCAGATGGATGTTGCTAGCTGGTATGCAGGGTCCCCCTGTCCTGTGCAGTGGTCATGCTGTGCAAAAAATGGATAGCTACGTTAGCGAGATTTTACAGGGCGATTGCATTGATATGCACTGAATTACATGGTTGTAACCCCCGTGGAAAATATCTTTCAAACGCAAAAACTCTGCATCTCCATGCTTGTTTAAGTTTTAGCTTGGTGTAAAAAAAAGGGGGTTACTTTTTGTGAAGCTGTTTTATCGTACGGAAAGATCAATGATTTTTCCAAGGTGCTAGCCCAGGCCTTGTGCACTAATTAATCCAGCTAACCACATCAGCGGAGATGTTTATTACAGTCACATAGTCAGCAGCAGCAAAAAAGATGTTAAATTGATGGCAATGTTCTAGCCAGCGATCTGGCTGCAGCTGGCTGAGGCAGTGATTTAAAAAGGGAAAGTGTGGCAGTGGTCACTGACTCCATTACACATCCTCCTCATTAATTTGCCCTGACCATGTAAATATCATGCGAGGTCTCCGTTTACCTGATATCCCTCTGATACTGCAGGGATTGCCGCCGTTGCACCAAATTAGTGTGAGATTGTTGGTTTGTGTGTTTAACACATTAACCGGCAAAGGAGGAATTCATTCAACTTAAAAGTTATTTGAGGGAGAGAAAAAAAAAGGGGGGGTGGTTGTGTGGGGGGCGAGCTTCGGGCTGTATGCTGTAGTTGTGTGTGCATGATGGAGACTTATTTAGTAAGAGTGCAAATGTAGGATAAATAAAGTCATTCAGGGTGAAATTGATGTGCATGGATACCGTGTGTGTGTGTGTGTAAGAAATGGAGGGACATTGCAGAGATGAAGGTTAGGCGTTACTTGAGCTGAGTGGAAGAGAAAAAAAAAAGAGGGGGGTAAAAAAAAGGCTTTTTTTCCAGAGCTACATATAACTTTGGTGCTTTGTTTGGTGTGCACATCTTGACTGAATTATATAATCAGTGTATAATAACATTTTAAAACATTTTTATTCTTGATAGTTTGTGAGTGTAGGACTTTTTTTTTTTCTTCATCTAAAAGTTAGCTGTGACTTTTATTAAATCAAAGCGAACTGTAAAGCTTAAAAGTTTTACAATTTACACTGTTCTTCAATCTTTGTATTGAGGCCTAATACAGAAAAATTTGTTTTTTTTCTCACTAAATATGTTTGATTTTGATAGTCGGCCTTTATGATTATGAAAGCTACATTTTGTCTTTTACCACCAAGGCCAGAATTAGCTTGGCATCTGGTATTGATAAACGGGCATCAATAAGTATAGTTTGTCAATATGTAATTACAGCTATACAACTGGGTGCACTGAGCTGAAGAAAGTATAAATACATCTTCAATAAGGACAAAAATAATAGTAGAATAAGAAAGAAAAGGGCTGAAACCAACTGTTAGTCTCATTATTGATTCGTCTGTCAGTTAGTTTCGAGTCTATAAAATGTCTATCACAATTTCCCAGCGTCAAAGGTGATGTCTCCAAATTTGTTGCTTTATCCAGACAGTTGCCCAAAAGAAATTCAGTTTACAAAGCAGAAAATCATCACATTTGAGAACCTATAAACTGCAATCTGCAATTTTCCTGCTTCATTAAGGACTTTAGATTAATTGACTAATTGTTTCAGAGCTAAAGAATGATTTTTTACAAACTTTGATTTTGATACTTTCTTTTACAAGATTGTTTTTTTTCCACTGCAGACAGTCGATCCTTACCACCAGCTTTAACTTAACATTCTCAGCCTTTAAAAAAAAACAAAAAAACAATTGATCTATCAATAGATTTGTTCTGATTGTGGTATTTTAATCTCTTGCAGGTCCTTGTGGAACATGCTGGTCGTTGGAAAACTGATGAGGATCCACTGCCTTTGCTGGAGGTCTACACTGTGGCCATCCTCAGCTTTGCTAAGGCCGCCTCCTGTCTCTCCTCCGAATGTGAAAACGTGCCACTCCTACTTGAAAAGTTAGCACTGTGAGTAAAAACTGTAAAGTGGTTGTCACTGCAGGAAACGATTTCTCGACGTCCTTTTATATTTTTCTTATTCTTTCAAACACCATCTTTATTATAAACTTGACCTGTAATATGTGTTACAGAAAATATAATGCTCAAATTGTATGTCGGAGAAAGATCATTAAGTCTTTCTTATACAGTTTTAGTGTAAAGTTGATGTGGCAAAGAATGGGTTACATGTTTCTGATGTGCACATAACAATAGACCAAACATTAGTTTGCGTTGCAGTCTGCTGGTGTAATTCAGTATTTGGTCGACAGTGATCTCTTTAGATATTACATCAAAGATGCACAATATTTGACAGAATGAAACAAAACACATCCAAATCCCAACGGAAATTTAGATATAAAAAGTCTGGAAATACTCTGTAATCAGTGTACATTCAGGCACTATTCAGCTATTTGCACAATGTGCTCTTGAAGTAGTTGTGGAGGCAAAGTCCTTGAGGCTGTAATACAGAGTAGAAATGTAGGCTACCTCTTGGGGAGCTTCGACATATTTGGGATGAGCTGCAGAGTATACTACGCACACCGAGGAGCAGTGCATACACAAAATGAACCGAGGTGACAGTTATTAATGTGAAACATCTAACATAAATCATTATTGATCACAATAACTGATCTGGCAATTCTGAGATCTTTTTCATTGCATATGAAAAACAACAGTGACTATTTAATAACACTTGTATCTGTATTGATCCAGAAAACTGTCTGACTGCTAGGATTACACTGCTTTACACCTGTCATATTTCAACAGTTCATATTTGTCATCTTTATTATATTTCCAAAATGTCACACTGACTTCAGCAGCACACACTGTGAATAATTATGTGTGTATGGTTACCCTTAATTTGTGAAGTGTGTGCACATCCTTGACCTAAATGTGGCTTTAACAAATGGCTGTGTTGATTTCACAGGAGCTGTGCGGAGCTGCTGCTCTTACTGCCCCAGCATGTCCCTGGTGCCTTATGGGAGGAGTTTCAATCCTCCATGAAGGTCAGTATCCCCAGGGCTGTTAGGAGTCTTTCTCTGAGGCTTGTTTTTACAGCGATAAGCACTGAAAAGTTGTTATTAGAATTCACTTGGTTTAGCTCATCATTAAAACATAATAAAAACAAAAGGGCTGAATGTTTGGTTCTGTAAGTTCTCTCTACAAGAACATCATTTTATGAGATGTTGTGTTCACTGCTGCTTTTGAAGAAATGTAAACAGTTGAACGGTGACCCAAATTCACTACAGTAACACTGTTATAGCAATTACTTTAGACTCTTGACTGGCTATCGAAAGTATTACTCACTGAGGT